AGGGAGGAGAAGATGCTCCCGGAAGGGGCTCTCCCTTGGAACAAGAGAGGACGCCCCCCCCGCTGCCCCTCCTCCAGTCGGAAAGCTGGCACCTGAGGATGCTGGTAGAATGGTTCCTGCCATACCCATAGGAGCCCAGCACACCCCGGAGGCTCTGTGAGGGATGAGTCGAAAGGCATCACTGCTACACGCACACACACAGACACAGAGGCTGGGCAGGGCATTTCCTGCTGCTCCCCAGGGCGACCCGGTCCCCTCTTGGCCACAGACTTAGACTGGGAGAGCAAGGCTGCCCCCGTTTATTTAACACCACAAGCATTTGGGGCCCCTCTTCAGGATGGCATCCTTGCCTCGCCTTCCGGCTGGTGCTGGGACTTCTGCTCTCCCCCCCGCCCCCCTCCCTCAGACCTCCATCCGTCTCTTCTAAACTGATGGAAGTTTTTTTTTAAAGAACGGTGCCTCTTCTGGGAAGGCAGGAAGCTGGGTGGGGGGGGTTCACAGGGTTTGCCCCTTGGCAGCACTGTAAGGAGATGAAGACAGCACCCACTGCGAGTGGAAAAGGTGGGTCCCCTTGCTTCTTGCTTGGGAGGTGAGCTGCCTGGCCAGCTTTCTGGAGAGGGCCGACTCTTTCCACCCCTTCAGCTTCTGGAAGCAGATTTTTCCTCCCTTGATGGCCGCAGGGTGGAAAAATCTGCTTCCAGAAGTCTCCATGCCCTGGCACTCAGACAGGGAGAGCCCCCCCCCGAGCCCCCCCCCCCAGCTACTGCAGGAAGCAGCCTTGCCAAGAACGGGATTTGCCCAACTGACTTTCTATGTGGAGCATGGAACCGCGGCATCTGTTGTCAACCACGGCAATTTGCACTTGAAATACCGGGCGGCCAATCTTCTGACGAGCCCTGCGCTTTGCCAGGGAACACGAGCGAGTGCCAAAAACCTGGCTTAAATTCTTCCCATTCAGGAAGTGGCAGAAGGTGGGGGAGGCTGGCAGGAGGAGAAACTACTTCCAGGGTTCCCAGCAGGTAAAGGCCTTCCCAAGGAAAGCAGGCGGCATTGGGGGGGGGTGTGGGCGCGCCTGGCAGCACCTGCTTACAGAGGAGGCAAGAGACCTTTGCAGGCAAACTGTGCCTCTCCTCCCCCCCCCAACCCCCACAAGGGCTCTGGAAGGCAGGGAAGGCAGCGCTTGCCCCACCCTTCAGGAGACTCCAAAACACCCAGCAGAGTTAGGGAATCTGATGCAGGAGAGGATGCTGCCCCACAATGGGCCGGCCGGCCGGGCGGCCACTCTCTCTCACTCACTCACATGGCCACAGGCGCACAGTTTTGGCTGGTATGTAACAAGAGAGGAACGTTCCACCCCCACGGGAATGTGCAGGCTGTGAGCGCCAGGAAGAAAACCTGACCTTTGCGTGGGCAGCCTAAGTCCTGGGCGGCTCCGCGGCATCAGCCCCGAACGGGTCACCCCCTGCAGGCAGGCAGGCAACCAACCGCCCGTGGGGATCCCCTCCTTGACCCCATCCCTCTAATGGGTTTGGGTTTATTTCACGGGAGGAAAAGGGGAAGAGGAACTGAATGGACAGGCAAATAAATGGACGGGCAAAGAAAGGTCGGGGGTTTTTCCAGGGCACGTGGGGAGGCAAGGAGGGGAAGAGGCGCAAGGCTGGTCATGTGTGCGAAACGGGAGCAGGGAGCCAAGCCAGGCTGGGCCGGGCACGGCCGTGCGGCTGCCCAACCAGACAGGTGTGCAAGGGAGTGCCTGCTTGCACCCCGACTTACGATGCTCCTCATCAGCTTGTCGCCGCCACTGAAGGTCACCGCCAGCATGGAGGCACACTCCTCGGCGTAGAAGGGCATGGAGCCTGTCTCGTCCACGGCCCCTGGGGAAGGGGAAGGCAGAACAGGGAGGGCGAACTCAGCCCAGTGCTTAGAAAAGAGGCTTGTCGGCCCGCCACTCCCAGAACCCCCCCCCACTTCCCCAAGGAAGCCTCTCTCCAAAGAAACGCCACCCATGGCTGAGTGAGCCTCCTCCAAAAGCATGTGGGTGTCTTGGGAAGGGGAAGTGACCCCGGAAGCTCCTGGGGGGGGCAGGAGAGGCAGAAGGGCAGCCAAAGGCCACAGAGACCTCCGGGACAGGGCCGGGTAGATGCCTGGACAACAGGGGGGGGCACAGGTGAGGAACCCCTTGCCACCCGGAGCCCGCCTACGCCGGGTGCCTCTGGCTGGAGGAAAACCACAAGCCTCTTCTGGCTGTTTGAGAGTCCGCAGAGGGCAGACTGGCCTCTGGATCAGGGCTACAGGGCACGCACCCCACCTGCTCCCAACCCCCCACAGTCCAGTCTAAAGCAGGCACTCCTCCTGGTCTTACCGACAGTGACGGTGTAGATGGAGTTGGCGTAGCCATCGTAATTGCAGTTGTCTTTGTGATGCCCTCCGTTGCCGCTGGCCACCACGAAGATGCTCCCGAAGCCTCGGCGGCCAGCCATCACCCCATGCTGAAGGGCGGCCTGTTGGGGGGGGGACAGCAGGGGGTTGGGCGGCTGCAAGGGCTTCCGCTTCAGCTTGCTGGACACACACCTTGCACCCTATCCCGGCTGGTTGTAAGGGAGGGCGGGAAGGGTGCTCCGCCTGCCCAAGGGGCAGGACCCCCCCAACTGCCAAACCCAAAGAAAGAGGGCCCCCTCCTTTTTCACACACACTCCTCCACCCTTCTGCAGAAGCACTCCAGTGACAGGGGCTGCGTTCCCAGAAGGGAGCCTGCTTTCCCTTGAGATGGGTGTGTTTGCAAGGCGGGTGGCAAAGGGAAAGGAAAGGTGGGTGCCCCACCCCCCCGGCCTGGCCATGGAGACCCTTGGAGCCCGTCCTTGGGACCCACTGCCTCCCCACCATGCCTATCACACCTGCGGCCAGGGGGTCCTGACCTTTAGTGCCCAGCAGAGAGAGAGAGGCTGCTGCGTTCCACCTACCTTTCCAAGCTGATGGGGGCCATCCACCGTTTTGCCATCATCGTCTGGACCCCAGCTGTGAAGGGAGACCCCGAGACACAGCAGCACTCAGTACCCTGGTGGCGGGGGAGGAAGAGCCCCAAGAGAAAGAGGCCCTGGATCCCACCCACCCCAGCTGGGCAGAGGGAGCAAAAAAACATCCCACCCACTGCCCTCTTTCTCCACTCTAGCGGAATAAACTTCCTGACAGTAAGAGCTTCTTGGCAGGGAAGGTCCTGCACTGAAAGCAATGGGCTCTCCTTCACTGGGGGCTTTTGAGCAGAGGTTAGAGGGCCGACGGAGAGGGGTGCTCAGGTGGTGGACCCTCTGCCCTGGCCATGGGGGGGGGGTCGGCGGGCGGTGGATAAGGTGGTCCTTGGAGCCCCTTCCCTTCGAGGACTCAGCAATCCACCAAGAGATCCCCTATAAGGAATTCAAACCTCTGCAGAGGAGGTCATGGGCCAAAGGAAGCCGCTTGCAGCCTCTGCCCCCACCCTTGCCCTTGGGTCTCATGGAGCTGCCATCAATCCAGAACCGACCCCCATCTCTGGCTTACCCCCACAGGGGCCAGAAGCTGCAGTATGAGCTCTGCCCGGCAAGGATGCCGGTCCCGGCAGGCTGCGGGGCTTGGCGGCTGGCTCCCACTGACCTGCAGCTGTAGATGTCGTTGATCTGATAGTGCTTGTTGAAAGCCACGGCCTCCATGCTGTCGGTGAGGGGCCCGTCCAGGACACGGATCCCTGCAGAGTCAGGAACCCCAGGTCACACCGTTAGGGACACCAGGAACCGCCTCGCAAGCCACACATAGGGAGGCTTGCACTCCAGCTCTCCCTGCGTCCACGTGAAGCTCGTGGCGGCCAGAAGGGAGTCCCGCGGCCTCACCCCACCCCCCAACCCCTCCAGTCGTAAAAGAGGAACGGCAGGGGTCCTGTCTCCCCAGATGAGCACAAGGACCGAGGGCAGAGGAGGGACTGGAGGGGCCAGTCTCTGCATTGGAAGCCCTAAGGAAACCTTCACGAAGGAGAGCGACTTCGGAGCGACCAAGGGACTGCTGGAACACCCGCCCCCTTGAAGAGAAGCCAGGGATCCGTGCAGAGAACAGAGGGGCCAACCTGCGTTCGGTGTCGGCCCTACTCAGGCCCTCTAGAAGGCAGGCGAGGGGGAGGTCAACCCACGAAAAGGGGAACGAGCCAGCCCTGCCCCCCAGAGGGCAAGCCTCCCCTGACAGAGAACTGCTCTGCCACATTCAGCGACTCCCCCCTGCGCACTTCCCCTCCTTGTGTGTTTATTTGCTTTCCTGCTACAAGACCCGGATATGGCTTGTGTGTTATTTCATAACCGAGAAGGGGTTGGGAGGAGCAGAAGGGTGCCGAAGAGGAAGGACTGAGGGGGGCAGGACTAAGACTTCCCCTGCAGGGGGGTTCCCTCCAGCCCGTCCAGCCCCCAGAAGCCAGCCATGGAGGCACAAACTGTGGGGGGAATTGTGTGTGGGGGGGGTGCAAACACAACCCACTTGGAAGCATGACCCTGTTCCTTATTATAGGGAGGAGGCGCCACCTGCAGGGTGAAGGGGGCAACAGAAGCCTTGGTGTGATCCCTGGGATGCCCTGGTTACAGACACAAACACACACGCACGCAGGCACACGACTGCACATGCGTGCACACATGTGCAAAGGAGGATTTCCAAGGAGAGCACAGGACCCAGCACCTAAAGGCCTCCCACCAGTACCAGAACATGAACCCGGCCCAAGGAGCCCACCCTTTGCCCCCTGGCCGGTCCCAGCCCTGCTCTTCCCTCTGGGGGGGGGAAGGGGATGCGGCTGGAACCCCAGCCCGGGAGGGGGGCCTGTCGGTGGATGGAAGAGCAGGAGGATAACCTTAGCGAAGGGTGCATATAGACCGTAAATATTCCAACAACCATCCACTCATGAACTGCAGCCCTTTCAAAACTCTCTTCACAGTCGGTCTGGAAGGATGCTTAATCATCATCCCCACGTGGAAGGGAGGCATGAAAAGCAAAGGCCCGCCTGGGCCGGCCCACTTCCGGTGGATCCCAGCCTCTGCAGGCAGGTGGAAAAGGGGGGGGCGTACCTGCGATCCGACTCCCGTAGGCGACTCCGACGGCGCAGAAGCTGTTGTTGGAAACGGCCGCGATTTCTCCCGCACAGCGCGTCCCGTGGTGGTTCCCGTTTTCCTCGTCGGGGTGGGGCATGGGATCCGGGTCGCCGGAATTCAGGTCGTAACTACCCTCAGGGCTCTGGAAAAAGAGGGCCAGCCCACGAGTGAGGCCCTGGTTTCCCGGAGAGGCGGCGGAGGAGGACACAAAGCTCTCCAGGGGACTCTGTGGCGGTGGCGGGGGGGG